GGTGATGATATCGATCACGATATGATCAGCATCATCTTCTTGGTAACAACTTACAATTATCAAAAATTACGGCTCCGTACCTGCATGCCAAGCTTGGCAACTATTAAAAAATCAGTCCCATGAGGTAAGACTATGTTCAGCTATGGTTTCTCGTAGGCTGGAATGGGTTGATTAATGGGTAACTACAAACAAACGACGTTCGGATTTTTTCATTAAATTGTGCTGTGAGACCATACTTCTTGCCAAATTTCATAATTGTAAGTCCATCACAAGAAGCATATAATTTTTTATATGTGAGTTTGCATTTTTTTACCTAAAATGGACCTTAGTATTTTATATCAATTTTAACTTGATACCTCTGCTCGTACCTACGAAAGTAAAAGGAAATAAGAAACAGGTCTCAACAGACGGACGGAAAACAAAGTGATTCTTTAAGATTCTCGTTTTTCCGTTATGAGTAAAACCCTAAAACGATGAAGATATTAAGATTATATATTGGTGTGTTCCAGATGGTAAGACGGGACGGGACGTATGACGCCATTTCTTCATCTTCACCAGCATGTGAACTTTGCTAAACGACCTGTTATCACTATCACTAGAGTGCATCTATGTTTAACAGACTTAAATGCGTGGACTACCTGGTTTCTCTTTCCAATTCCTTAATTAGTAAACATCAATACAAGTCACGTAGGTTCTCAGTTCATTTTGAAAGTTTTGCAAGGTGTAAGACGAGGAAAGAAACTTTTCAAATTACTATTCCCATTACAGGTTTAGTTGATTGAAAGTAGCGCGTGTCGGATAACTTATTGTCAGTTCTACTCACGTGTAATATATAGGTAATAAAATGGTATAAAATTTGTATGTTTTAAAAAGTATTACTTAGTTATGTTTCATATTATTACGCCATGATTTTAAAAGAAAATGCAAGACTTATAAATGCAAATGATATTCTAAAATAGGTAAATTAAAATAGGTACGTAACTTGACTGAAGATTATTTGGAATACAATTTTGATATTTCAAATTACCGTCACATCGGGTATTCCAAATTAGCAACAAGACGTGGTCGGATATACCCTCATGTCATTTATTTATAAATTAACTAACTACTGAAATCAAAGTCAATGTAGGTATACAGTTTATGATCCATTTTATAGTATACATAAAGCTAAACCATCGAAACATAACTAATTGTGGCAACACAAATTGGTTAAATACGTACCTTAAAAATGTTCAAACACACTCCTTCACAATTTGGTATTTGATCGACTAACCGTGTAAACATATCGACAAATGATGCCTATCTTTAATGTTTAATGGCCATGAAACTAGATGGCACTACCAGTTTCTGTGAAACCCTCCTATTCCAAATAGCCTACAGTATTCCAAATTACCTTCCTTTCTCTAGTATTTATTGATAGATCAATTTCATAAAAAATTAAAAAAATTGTAATATATCAATGCCATAGGCTTTCTATTCTGTTCACCTATTTTTTTCCAGACGTTAAAAAATTACCCAGAGTAAGATTACTTTCATATCATCCTACGTAAGAAATTTGCTTCATTCAATTTTTTTTTCGTATGTCATCAATTTTTTTATGCATAGAATCCAGGGACGTACCAAAGGCAGCTTAAGTACTTTATCTGATAAGCCAGACTGTGCGATTTTGCGGAGTTGGGTGGATATGTACTAGTATGTATGTGGCGTCGTACATAATAGTTAAAACATAAAAAGGTGTGTTGTCAAGTAGCAGCATGTTTTAATTATTTAAACTGTAAACTAAAATGGTTTATAAGTTTGTTTCTAACACATGAGTTATGGACTGTAATTTTTTTTTATTGTACAAGGGTGACAAACGAGCACACCTGATGGTAAGTGGTTGCTGTGGCCCATAGACATATATCTTTACTCGATTACGAAAAAGTGTTGTCACCCGTGAGGACTAAGATGGTATGCCTCAATTTCAGTTAAATGGGTCTCCGGTTCTCTACACTCACCATACGAAACACAGCAGCGTTGAGCTGCTATTTCACGCTGGTATTCTTCTGTGAGAGCGTGGTCCTTCCCCGGTCGAACCAACCCATTCGTGCTACAACTATACTACTAATATAACTGCAGCATGGCTCTACCACGCGAAATTAAAGTTGAAAACATATTTTCGTAATAAACTTTTACGTAGGTTTAAATACAAATTATGTATTTACACGATTGGTAAAAACCATTCATCCGAAGATATTTAGTAAAATTAAAGTAATTACTCTACCAGTGTTTAAAGTATATTTCTATCTCACCAGAAATATAATTTTGAAAAAATTGGCAAACGACGTTCGGCTTAACCTATAAAAGTTACGCGAAAACTAGACATTGAATTAAACTATATATACGGATTTTATTGCGTTTAATTAACTTATTTTAACTTATTTTTAATTCCCGACGTTTCGGGTGTTTTATAGCACCATAGGGGGACGTAGCCGGGCTAACTATGACATTGAGACGTCAAACATCTCTCCCCCCAGTGACCATGAGTGCTGTAAAGCACCCGAAACGTCGGAAATTAAAAATAAGTTACTTACAATACAAGTGTACAATAAGTTAATTAAACGCGATAAAATCCGTATATATAGTTTCATTCAATCAAAACAGATGCCAAATTTCTTAAATTACAGTTATACGAATATAATAGGTTCTTCAATTCTTAAATATTAAATTTATGTGGGAAATTTTAATAGTCATTAAATTACGTTTACGTGATCCGTCGACTGACCTCTTAGTTGAGGTTGGCCCTAACCAGACGGAAAATTCGTCCCAAGTAGATATTACTCGTCAAAAACTCACAATATTCATTGTCATTTAATATTTATGTATCATTTTCATCTTAGTAAAAATCTTAAAATATTTTAATTCGTATCTTAGCATCATCAATCATTCAAAATGGCTACCACGCTATACGGCGGCATGAGCGTAATTTATTACAGACTCAAAAGATATCTTGTTACATCAATTTGAGAGCACATCTGTTTTAAATTATCGCATTCATATCAAGAGAATAAACTATATAAAGCTAGTTCTATATACGAGTATGTTTTGGCTTACGTCGAGAGTAGGCATCGAAATTTTTATAACTAAGGCAATAAATATTACAGATGCAGTTGTAAAATGGGATAATATAATTATTGAATCCACCGCCTCAGGTAGTGCAAGCCGCTTTTAAGCTGGAGGCCCAATATTGTTGCTTGAGAAGATATACAATAATATTGTATTTACGTGGCGGACATGAAACCCTTTGTGATCCGAAATGAGCACATAGGTGTCGCCATTAAATTACCATAAAAATCATCAAATTAGGTTATGATGAATATAAAATGTTAGTGTTATTTAAAATAAACTTTTTTAACTACAATTTCCTTACAATTCAATAAATTGTTATAATCTGGTAACAACGTCGTCGACGACGGAATCGTTTTTTTCGTTTTGATCGTGTGGCCTACGGCCGCTCTCTCCGCATGTATTGTCATATGTTTCCCAATTTGATTAACTTTAAATCTATATTTGCATTTTTTTATTTATTCTCTGAAAAGGGTTTGAATTAAATCATATCACGATATCTAAAAGCACCCTCATGGATCGGACCATAGAATACTATAATACATACATAATAGAACGGGGAACATTTCAATTCACACCTATTAAATGTCAACACTTCACATCAACTTGTTTTCAATTTTCGTATCAAGCGTCGCTGCATGCATTATTTAAAAATGGCAAATTGTGCAATATATAAGTGTTGAAAGAACAGCAGGAAATTGAATTTAAATAAAGGACACATATCCTACAACCAGTAAGTCGAAACTATTTATATTTTGTAACTATTAGAAACAAAAATAAAGAAATATTGATGTGTCAAAAACGTTAGTCAAAAGTCTAAAATGTGTAAATTCGCTCAGTCTGTCAATACAGCGAATCGGGTTTGTAGTAGTGATAATACAACGTAATTGCTTGTATGTGTGCTTCTGGCGACACCGATCCTCGTACAAAATAAGGTTGACAGACATTTTATTGTGTATTATAGTGTTCTATGGATCGGACAGCTTTATTACATACTTGTTGTTTGCTGCAACTCTTGATCGCCATAAAGTTTTGAGTTAACTCCATATTAAGCTTTTAAGGGTTTTCAGTATTTTTAGACTTATTCGACTCAACAATTATAAAGTAGGAAGTTCCTCTCGTTTATTATAAGTGAGTGCTTGATCGTAAACGCTCTGACATACCTTAACACTGTAGCCTGTTGACCCCTGCCTTATAGACACCCACATTGTAAGAAATAGAAATAGAGGAGTGGCGATTGCAGAACAAGACGTGTAGCCTCTTTGGCACAGATTCTCGTCCATCTGGATGTCTCACAATTAATCAAAGCATTTAGTTAGTTTTACCACCATTCATATGAAGCCAGACTTTCTGATATTTTCCGTAGTTGCTTACATACCGACAGCCAGGACGTATAATCAAAAGACGTTTTTTTTTTGTACACACAATTAAGTTAAAAACTAAAATATAGCCCATTGAAGTAATATGTACTTACGTACTAGAACAGCTATCTCAAACAAAAAATGTGCGCTGCTCTGTGTTCGCGCGGTTGTTTTTTTATCATAGAATAAACATAGGTAGATTGACCCGTAGGTAATAGTAGATTACATTGTTAAATAGGTAAATTATATCGAGAACAATATTTAAATTTTGTCATTTATTTTGTATATTATATTTGCTTATTTAATATAATATAACATAATATTATATCACAATTACATTTTAATGATATTTTTATCTAAATATTTTAGATACCTTATCTATGTCAAACATAAAAAAACATACTAAATGTATGTTTAACAAAACTTATTAACATAAAATTTAAATTACAAATATATATATATATATATATATATATATATATATATATATATATATATATATATATGGCACGCGAGAGTTAAAAATGGACGAATTTATTCCACTTTGAGCTTTTCTGAAGTCAAAACCTAAAAATAAAATAAAAGAAAATTTAGCCTAATTATAATAACTTATTTAAGTTTCTACAAAAAAAATGTGTATAATAATATTATATTCGTCCTATACTTGAGTACCCACAGAAATGTCGCATCTGAACATATTAATTTCATAATCTATAATCCATGACACAAAATGGCGTCTTAGGAATAATTTGTTTTATTATTAATCTGTAACACTTTTTTATTAATTTTAGTTCCTTGGTTTTTACTGACATTTCTTGAATTATTTGTGCAATATCTAAGTACACACGACGGATATTTTTATCAAGAGATTTTTTTTTTAATTATCACAACACGTGACAACTCTAAAAGCGCCTAGCGAGTGACTGGTTAAAGTGCGGTGTATGCACCGCAGTTGAGTGGAACAGAGTAGCTGAATGCAGTGTCGCCTCTAGTACGTAGTACATAATAGCTCAATGATATAGCCTTACCTTAATCATGGCCTTCAATAATGCATATCTGGTAAACACGTTGCGCTCTGCCTTGGACTCGTTGTATCGGGACATAAGTGTGACCAAGGCCTTCTTTGCAGTGTCGTAGTTCTCATCAAGACGTATCCGTACTGCGCGCAGACGCTCATTCGTTTCTATCACTTCTTCTTTTGTTTGTCCACCTGGTACAGATAAAATTAAATTAATTACATTGTGAATTATAAGCTTATAGCTTCTAAAAGTGGATAAATAATGGTAGAAGCATTTCGTTTACGACAGACGTAAAAAACTGGGTTCGGCAATAGTCAACAGCGTTAAAGGTGCGGGGTCGATCTTTAATCTACCTGATAAGGAGTACTTTTTGTCACCAGTGCTGTTAGTGGTTGATGGTATCCTTCAACGATAACTTAAATAAAATCGAGTATGAAACAAGTTTTACAAGATTAGTTTCATAAGTTACTATGGTATAATTTTTTCATACCTACTATTACTGCGTTGTGAATCCGTAAAAAATCATTTTGTGATCTGGGTATTTAATAAATCTGATATACGAGATGGTAATTCTGCCTTTAATAGCTCAAGAGATATTTGTAGGATTATCTACAGTTGAGTCTTTCGACATCCACGGAGCATATAAAGTTATTGATTTTCTTGTTACCACCTTACAATGATGTATGTATACCTCTACGATAATTTTTAAACTTTTCCCATTCATTCTTATTAAAAACTTTAAACCAATGCGTTCGATAATCTTGTAAGCCTGAGAAAAACCTTGAAGAGATCAATAGAAGATTGCTATGATAACTAAGCCCAATAAAGGGTTTAAATCCTTAGGTTGAATTGAAATTTTTTATTTTAACCAATATTGTGGTGATTAATTTTTTGCCACAGCTATTAATTACACTGGTCGGCATCAAAATAAGAGCAAAAAAATGTATGTATGGAAGTTATTACGTTAGTTACGTTAAATCCAAATATGTAGTTAGAATTCACCTAGCACGTCTAGTTTCGACGCAATAGCATTTTTTGTTTACACTAGAATTTTTATTACAGAAGAATTTTTTGCTTATAGTTGCAGGCAGCGGTATTTATGAACGTTGGTATGTACATGTATTTAGTTGTGTTCTGAGTCTGTTCTACTGTTGAACAGTTCAAATAATCAAAGTTGGTAGATAAAGAAAGAAGAGCATGGGTAGCTTTTTAAAATGTATGTCACAATTTTCTTGGCAATAAAAAGGCTGAAAATTACACAGAGCAGATAGAAGAACTGCTTTCGTCGTAACATCAACTTGGATGCAATATGTCTTTAAAAATTCACTTCTTGCATTCGCATTTAGATTTTTTCCCAGAAAATCTTGGTGCCGTGTCTGATGAGCATGGTGAAAGATTCCACCAAGACGTTGCACATATGGAAAAAAGATACAGCGGCAAGTGGACCCCAGCAATGCTAGCTGATTTTTGCTGGGAAATAAATCGAGAAACAGCAGTTAAAATGTATAAAAGAAACGATCTACCAAATAGTTATCATTTTTATGTTTTTTTTTTTATATTTTTTAATTCATATTTCATTTTAATTTGGGTTGTAAAAGTCATCAATCAGTGTAAATTTTTTCGTTCTAAAAGATATACATATTTAAAAAAAAAAAAAATATATATATATCAATACCGATATTTTATTTAAATGTAAATATCTGAAAAGCTAGAGGTGATAGTTGAAATCTTTAAACAGATTTGGACTCAACAAATCAAAGCCAATAGAAATCACATAGTAAACTTTTTGCTCCCGGATTTTTTTTTTGCCGACCAATGTTATCATAAATTTTTCGTTTTGTTTGGCGAACTTTCGCTCTATATGATGGTGAGTGGCTGCTGTCACCCATGTACAAATAAATGTCATACTTACTGGAAGTACCTTCATCTTTGACATCTTGTACGATGCGACGAACGCTTTGCGTGAATTTTCCGACTAGATTGGTGCTTGCTGAAACAAAAAGAAACAGATATCAGAATATACCAAGCGAATGACGCAGCCATGATTTTTTTTATAGTATAGGGTGACAAACGAGCACACAGTCCACCTGATGGTAAGTAGTTGCTGCGGCCCATAGACATCTACATCTATCCTCGATTACGAATCAAAATGCAGATGCGTTGTCACCCGTGAGGACTTAGATGGAATGCCTCATTTCCAGTAAAAAGGGTCTCCGGTTCTTTACACTCACCATACGAAATACAGCAGCTCACGCTGGTATTCTGTGAGAGCGTGGTCCTTCCCCGGTCGAGCCGACCCATTCGTGCTACAACTATACGTCTAATTTAACTGCAGCATGGCTCTACCAAATCTATGATGTAAAGGCGTAGATTATATGATTAATATGCCAACCTTTTTTTCAAATGTCAACCACACCCGTACCGTGGTCTACACTGATTTCTTGTAAACATTTTTGTACAAAAACATTTGCAACTCATTTTATATAAAAAACAACATAATAATATCCACGATCAATGTGGTTTTAACTTTAATAATGTTAGGTATGTCGCATTCATACCGAAAACACGCTTGTGCACTCTAACGGGCAACTTGAGCCTGCCGAGTCTAGAATTGAAAGCTGAAAATAGGGTAAGTAAGTGATGAACGAATAGTTACGTTAATGTGGCAAAGACATTTCAGTTAGTGACTGCTTCTGTAGGTTTAGTCATTTACGTGTGTTGATGGATTTTCCTGTTCGGATTGAAACGTATTCTACTTAATAAATTTAATCATAAATTATTGAGATTATTTATTTTCTTCTCTTTTCAGATAGGAAACAAAGCCTTAACGAATAACTAAAAAATAGAAAATAGAATATTAAGTCATAATTTTTATAATTATAAAGGTTTTGGTAAAAAAACCGAGAGATTTATGAATTAATAAATACAATTTTGTAGGTAATATTTTGTTAAGAACTTTTATTTATGTTAAATCGCTACTAGTTTTTGTTTTATGAATTCGAATTAGATATTCATACTTTCGCCAGTTGTGTCTCGCCAGCAACGCAAAATCAGGAATTTAATTTAAGACAAATCTAAAATTAGGGGCTTTTAGTTAAGTAGTAGTAGTAATAGTAGTTAAGTTTAAGAATTAGGTGCTCTAAAATTATCACCACAGCGAACTGTTGAAAATTACTTTGCTGGTAAAACGTATCGCTAGCAACGCAGCGACTATAATAGATATACGATAAATATTAATAACAATGAATTAAGTGCTAATTAAGTGCAGATGAAAAAATGAGTTTTTCTTAAAATCAGAATAGAATCAAAGTCAGGTATAGAATTGATTTGATAATTAAGTGATTTCCAAAACACAACTCACTTGTTTACACAGGAATAATAACACAATTACTTCTGCAACGGCTTCTGCGCTGCGGGAAGTGGAGCACCTTCGCCCTTGCATGGGGTCTTTCTTTGGTATAAAAATTTATCTTATATATATATATATATATATATATATATATATATATATATATATATATATTATCGTCACTGCGTTGCTGGTGATACGTTTTATCAGCAACGCAAATTTCAATAGTTCGTTGCTAGGAAATTTTTAGAGTACTTAATTTTTAAACTTGTCACCTAATTAGCACCCAAAATAACCCTAGTTTTGACTTTCTCTAAATGAATTCTGACTTCTACTAAAATTCTAATTTTACGTTGCTGGCAATATACAACTGCTTTTGCCGATAATACATCTGAAAATCTATTTGTAAGACATTTCATAAAATTGAAAAAGTTTGACAAGGGACTCTCGACGTTGACTTCCTCAGGGATTACTAGTTTTATCATTTACGTTATACGTGAAAATTTCGGGAATCAAGGAAGTGACACAACATTACTATTTAAAAATGTATTTATTGCTTTTCGAAGTATTCTCCGCGAAATTTGACACATTTTTCCATACGATGGAACCAATCATAGAAGCAACCATTCCATTCGGAAGTTGGGGTCTCCAAAATGGCGGTTTTGTAGACGTCCACAGCTTCTTCAGGTGATGAAAATTTCTGTCCACGCAATTTATTCTTTATTTAAGGGAAAGTATAGAAATCATTAGGGCTTAGGTCGGGGATGCACGGCGGATGGTCTAATAATTCTATGTTTTCTTGCTTTAAAAACTCTTTTGTTCTGTGATGGATGATGCGGCGGTTGCAGTTATGCGGATACGGAGTTCAAAAACGACCTGTTGCAAACAAATGCTAGCATACCATTCTGCATTAACCGTTCTTTGTCCCTCAAGAGTAATAGTCGTAACATGGCCGGTTTTGGAGACAAACGTGGCCACCATTTTTTTTGCAACACTCCGTGAACGAACAATTTTTGTTGGCTTTAACTCATTTTCGAAAACCCAAACTCGTGACCGGTTTTTTGTTTCAGGTTGGTACGCGTATATCCAGGATTCGTCACCTGATACGATGTTGTATACAGCATTTGAGGATCCTGCGTGGAATCTTTCGAAAGTTCTGACGCACCAAGTAACTCGAGCCGCTTTTTTGCTCTTCACAGAGCGAATGTACATCGGGAAAACAACTTTTTTACACCTAATTGTTCATGCAAGATTATTTGTATTTGACTCATTCCAATCTCTAAAGTTGCCTGAATTTCGCGGTATGTCACATGTCAATCTTCCTCAATCAGCTTACGCACAGCATCAACGTTTTCTTGGGTGACTGCAGTTTTTGGACGACCTTGACGGGGATCATCACTGAGCTTGACACGTCCACGTTGAAATTCAGCAAACAAGGCGATAAATTGTGGTTTTTGGATGGGGCTTCATCACCAAATTCAGAAATAATCCGGTCAACATACTGTTTTAGTGTTAAACCACTTCGAAAGTCATAATAAATCATCGCTCTTGAATTTTCTCGAGTCAATTCCATTTTCTCAGCGACTAAACAAGTTTGATAAAACCTTGTGACAAGACCGCGAATCTTTTTTTGAAATATATAAATGGTATTCGATTTTTAAAACCAAGGAGTTTTCAATGAAAAAGATTTTAATATGACAGGAACAGTGGAAATATTCCAATCCCGATACTTTTAGTGCAGCCTAGGTAAAGTAATAAAAGACAAGACGTCAAAGAAAGCAATTTTTATTCTGTAAACCGTAAAGCAACAAGGCGGACCAGAGGAGCGTGGCCACAGCTTCCCCCTCCCACCCCCCCGATACATAACTGTCTGTAAGTTTTTGCGAGGAGAAATCTGCACACACAATAACAATTGTTTGTTACTATGAAACTTACACATAACAATTAAAACAATAAAATAACAATTTTACACACGTACACACACACAGACTCGGATCAGTCTCTCGATCGTTCTGTATATTGTATGGGGGCAAGCAGCCTGTTTTGGTAACCAAATATGAAACAACACGGCCGTTATTACTTTATTTTTGAAGTTTAAAACAAAATACAATGATATTTAAATATAATGAAAAGGTTAAACACAATGTGAAAAAAAATAAAAAAAAAATAAAGAAAAACCCCAAAAAAAAAAAAACATGCGTGTAGCTGGTGTAGCTCACACGCGACAGAAGTGAAACCTTCAAATGAAATGAAATATAAAATACAAATACTTTAAATGATTAATTTAATATTATAATTTAAACTACAAGTTCGGCATAAAATATAAGAAAATTTAATTTTATAGTAAATAAATGATAACAATCTCATATATATATATATATATATATATATAAAATATATATATATATATAATATATATATATGACACAGATATTATATTACTCTTTTCGATAAACCTTATATAGTACTCACAAATTACAAAAAAGATTTAATATCAATTTTACCTATTACGAAGTTGAGGTTTGGCCGTTCTTCACTGCTTGTTTAATCTATAGGCACACGACACCTTCGTACCCATTGAGTTATAATAAATCAATGTTCGTACCTTGTTGAACAAAACGCGTAAGCGACGCCATTTCGGCGGCGTTTACGACTTTTTTCTCGCGAGCATTGCGCTATAATCTATAATGCTTCCTATCTCATTTTCTCCAATTCCAATCCATTCAATCTTATGAATTTATGTGTCTGTCTCTTTTTACTGTCGCTTTTTTTGTTTCATAGACTTTCAAATCACAACGATGCTAAAGAAGTTTTCACTTCAAAATTTAAATTGTCATAGTTTTACTCCCCGTGATATCCCCTCTCCTCCAGTGATCCCTGTTGCTATATGCTGTAAACAGGCATACGAGATGTTTAACAGACCGTTTTGGTTGTTATGTCTGTAGGTCTTTTTTAAGTTAAAATAAGATATAATCGTCTTTGTAGGTTGTTATTAAATACCTTACAACAATTAACTAAACGACGTACGAAACGAGGTACCTGCTACCCAGTGTTTCACCGGTAGTAGTGTAGTGTAGCCCCTATATAAATATATATATATATATATATATATATATATATATATATATATACAACATGTAACATAATTAACGCACTTTGAGAAAGTAGTTTGTTCAGAATCGTTTACTGAATTAATTCCTATCATTTTTAAAATAGGTAATTCTTTATCCCAAAAATTATTATAACTATGTAAATTACAGTCACACTAAATCTGTACAGTCAAAACAAACTGAAATGGACCGTAACTTAAGGCAATAAGACTTTTGAGAGTGCAGTTTTATTTGTATTATTACTAATTCTGTCATTCAATAAAAATAAAGAAAAATGAACTTTATTTCGAGAACGTTAAAGTCTTTGAGTTCGTGGATTTGTACTGTGACCACAATATTCTTCTGGAATTAGTACAACTAATTAATAAATAATCAGTGCATAAAAATGTTTAACTAAAAATTCAGTGTATGTATTGTGATTATAACATAATATACTAATTGGGGTGTCTGAGGGTGTGCGTTAATTATGTTACATATTGTATATATATATATATATAAAAAATATATATATATATATATATATATATACACGCCTCCATATGAGTTACACGCCTCTCCTATTCATTTAACACCTTTCCTACATTACATGGCGACCCTGCCCTACGGTGCGCTGCGACAATGCACGCGCACTGCCAGGCCTAGTTAGCCTAGTAGTTGGAAGTAAAATATTTATAAATATTACTAAATTAAATAATGAAGAAATAACTGAAACGATTGAAAAAATTAATATTGTAACGGAATTGACACACTGCCGGATGGAACGATAATAAATAAATGTGAACACCAGAAGAGCCCACAAATATATTTTTAGAAACTGACTGAAAAATTAAAATATATGTATAGTACTATGAAGACAACTGACGATGAATGAAAAAAAAACAGCAGTTGTACTCTAGCGAGCTTAGCCCAGAAGAATATAAAAATTGAGCGCCAAAAAGAACAAAGAAGAAGTTAAGAGGTAACTTCGCACCTGTGTGATTTTAATTATATTTAAAGCTTTATCTATCAATTTCAGATTGTTCTTATGTTCTTTTCGCTATTATACTTTTTTCAAGTTAAGTAATAAATATTCTGTATTTAATACACCTATATTTAAACTGAAAATATTTATCAGATACTTAACGATTCACTAGCTTTTTTAGTAGTTTTATTACTGTTTCTAAATAAAAATCATAACGCAATTCGGGTTGACTGGCAGAGAATGCCTAATGGCATTAAGTCCCCCCTTTGTGATCCTTTTATTAAGGTGCAATAAAGGGTAAATAAATAAATGCAATGAGTTAAGTTACGTATGCATTTATACACTTCTAATAAGGCACAAAACTATTTTATATTCCGTTTGATTCAGTTATTGTTTTCTATTAATTCTATTACCACGCATTATTATTAAAAAAAGTTGAATAATATGATATATTACATTTTTCCATACTTAAATTTACCATGTCAATAAATTTTTCATATTTTGTTATTATAAAACATCAATAATAGACGCCGTTGTTTTTTTTTCGGTAACAAATATCATTTTATAAATATGTAATTTTGACAAAGGTCAACAAACAATTCGCTATTGTTGTCTTTTTTCCTTTTCTAAAGACAATGAATCTTGAAGTCATATTATAATAAATTAAAATTGTTTTGTTTTCAATATTTAAATAAAATGTTTTGTTATATGTTGATATAAACTTGACAGCTGTTTCAGTGATTTTTTAAATTATTTTTTGTATACATTATAATTAACATCATAATATTTTTAAAAACGTAAATTTTTTAAGAGCCAATGCACTTTAGATGTACCTATGTAATTACTACGAAGTAACTATCTTAAATTTTGCATAAATTGAAAGACATTTAAAACTATGTCTAAAAAAACGAGTCGTAAGCATGGTCATATCGTAAGCGTATCGTTACCACGCGTGCGAGACCTGAAAAAAATCTTTTAAATTTTTCATTTCTTTTTAATTTAAGAGATTAATGAACATTTAAATTGTTACGCTTGCTTTTTTACGCCAGTACACTACTACTATCGTAATTACAATAAACATCTCCTACGATTCACTGCAGGACCGCTTCGTGGGCGGAGTTGTTTGAATTTATTGCTCTCGCCCTACGCCCGTATTACGATACGCTTACGATACGACGCCGTGCGAATAGGCTTGGACAGAAAAGGAGACCTAACTCCTTAGTAAACGTAAAAACGTACGACAAGTAAAGGGAACCGAAGACCCTTTCTACCCGTGATAAGGCCTTCTATCTTATTGCTCAGTGATAACAACGAATTTATAATTTGATTCTTAATTATAAATAGATTCCTGCTCATTAGCTTTTTCTTAAGAAAATCATTATCCTTAAAAGTTGAAAATTATAAATTATGCAAAGAAAATGGCAATTTTGAAATTTTATTTCGATTACTTCGAATAGCAAATAATGAATAAGGGACTAATATTTATCGATGAAAGTTGGTAATTTGTCCAACCCTTTACTATTAATTTCGACGAGAATTCAGTAAACGTTAAAAATAACTGCGTCCCAGTGGGTCCGGTGAAAATTGATTACTTAATTACAAAATTGTTTCTACGACGCCGTTTTAATAATTAGGATATTGGGAAGTTTCTTTATGTCCTTGGAGGTGTCAAAATATAAATTTACCAAATACTATTTTTTATAAATAAATTCGCTTTGACACAGCTCTAGTAAGAGAAAAAGGCCCAGGTCCAAAAAACAACGCGGTTCTTTTAATCACCTAAGAAAAACAAACAAGCTTGCAGCCCTCGATATTAATTTATCTTCATCTATAAAATCCTAAAATAAAAATTAAGTGAATGGATGATTAATAATTCAAGATAATACGAGCCGGCGTGTTTTATAAGCTCACGGTCACTCTTGAGCGACGTTTATTTCACAAATTTGTTGATTTTTTTGTCACAAACATAGTGGTTTCTTATCAAAAATCGTTATTGAAACTTATGTCTTCATCAAACAAAATCATCATTATGCAATAACACAACTAATATAATAAATATATTATTATCATTTGTACCACAAAGCCTGAAAACAAGATTGTACAACTAGCGCGTGTTGCCAATGATGACTTATGGATTTGAGACGTGGTCCTGCACTGCTGGCCGTATGGGTAAGCTCATGGTCGCAGCGATCAGCGAAGCTATGGAGAGCGCTATATTAGGGGTTTCTTTGCATAATCTTAAAAAGTCTTAGAAATATCCGCAGTAGAAATGACCAGAGTAACCGACGTAGCCAATCGGGTCAGTAAACTGAAGTGGCAATGGGTCGGACATATAGCTCGAAGAACCGATAACTGATGGGGAAGGAAGATTCTTAAGGGCAGCCTGGCACCGGTAGGCGAAATGTAGGGTGGCCCCCCATTAGAGGGAGTGACTACCTGGTAAGACATGCAAGAAGTCGATGGATGCAAGTGGCTCAGGACCGTGCTTTGTGGCGTACCTTGGGGGAGGCCTATGTTGAGCAGTGGACTTGTGAAGGGCTGTAATTAACGAATGTATAAATTATGCAATAATGATTATTGATTAGAAAATACTAGCTACCTATGATTTTCTTAAAGTAACTCGAAGGGTATTAAATAAACTATTTATTTTATTCAAAAATCTTTATTGCATTCCCTTATATAAAAAAGGATACAATTAACGAAGTTAGTAACTAAAGCCTTCCTACCAGTCAAGGCACGGAGTAGTGACAATTAGCCATAGGTTTATCAATTAAGAGAAAAAAAGAAAAGAAACTAAATTAAAATTAATTTGCTTATATGCGCGTAATGAAATAAAATTATGTATCTTACTAAATTTGCCCTCTTCCC